AGTTTTTGAATTTCTAAATTACACATCTTGTAGTTGGAGAAGGATTGGGTTTTGTGCAAAATATGCAACACTGAGATTGATTCAGAATCAGGAGAATGGGTTGAAGACCCAGATTATGTTCCCGCAGAAGACGAGGAAGAAGCAGATCCATGAAGAATAATAATAATATTAAGTGGGATGTTTAAATGTCTATTTTCTATTGAGTTTTAAAATAGAAGATTTTGAGTATTATCCAATTTCTGTATTTCGTTCCTCTGCTTTGTCAATTAAAATTTTTATTGACTTGCGATCTTATTTTCAGTATACATAAAATCATATTGAAAAAAATAAAAATTGTTTCTTTATCGTTCTTATCATTAAACAAATGTTTAGAATGGTGCACTTTAATTTTAGTGCTGTTTACTTGCAGCCTATCCACACGATGAGAACTTTTAGACGAATTTATCAATATGTAAACTATGACAATACACTTGGTTACACTATAAACCCCAAAATTAGATTTTTGAACAAATTTTGCCTTATTATGCATTCTGATTTTTGAACTTTGCTCGAAAGTATGTATTTTTTAACAAATAGCCATTTCCTCTGCCATAAAACATCCCAAACTTCAAAATTCTATTTAGTTCCCATGCATATACAAAAGAGTCAATAAGATCTTACTATACTTTGTTTTTTTATAAATAATTTGGTTTTGAATATAGTGCTTTTTTAAAATCGTACTTGGAATAGATTTAGATTGGATAGGTATATAAAAGTAGCGTGAATATATAGTGTCTAAATGAATGAATTTAATAAGGATAATATTGGAATATAATGTATATGAATATAGTACTTTATTAAAATTTTAATAGGGATGAATTTAGAGTGGGATACATATATAAGAATGGTGGATGAAAATATTGGCTCCCATATTTTATTAGGACAATAGCCATGGGACTGGAATTTGAAGCCAATGGATCTGAACTCGGAAAAATATGATTGCATATATAATTGAATTGGAAGGTAGAATTTGTAGCTTTGAGGCGTATACAAAATAATACTTTCTTTAAGCTATTATAGCACCAATTTAATAGACGGTTGTTTGGCTAAAATAATGATATTTCTCAATTATTTGTTTACAATGAGATGTTACATAAATGCACTCTCGAGAGAGGTATATTTTTACGGCAAACACAATACACTTCCCAAACTACAGGAATAAAGCCTGGCTTGACCATATTGAAAATGAATTTGTATTTTAAGTACATTAATTTAATCATATTTCAATATCAACATAATTTCGTATCTTTCTTTTTTGTGTTTTTTATTTACAGACAATTATATTCACGCAGAGCCGGGCGTACTATACTTTTTTACCCCAGTGCGGCGCCGTTCCTGAGGAATGGGGTGGTAAGTGGAATTGTGTATGTGGATTTGTGCAACATATCAAGGGCGGCGAAGATGTTGTATTCAACATAAAATCATATAAATTTGTCCCAAAAAATCCAAGTCCTAATGACGTATCGTGGCTGATGAAGGAGTATGGCTTATCTAATGAAGAGATCATCCACATAGTAACAATGTGAGAGGAGTATAATTTTTATTTTTTTTTCACATTGTTCATCTTTGTACCTTGGAGTGATTTCTTGTTTCTTGCAGATACATGAATGTGTTGTGGTAAAGCTGTACCGGAACTAGCTGCAAAGGAGATGTTGCTGTCTTTTTTTGACGTTTTGGAATGAGAATTGGATATTTCATACTGGTTTAATTTTTTAGAATTCTTGAGCTATTTGATTAATTTTTTTTGCAGATGAAGGCCTTAGGCTTCGCATCACAAATTGAAGTTACTGCTTCACTAACAAATTGATGGCACAATTTTGTGAGGGAAAAATTCATAAATAAGGT